TGCATTTGCATTCCCTCCTCCACCTCCTCCATCCCCACCCCCTCCTCCCTCGCCCTCAACCCCTCGCCTCTCTGTGCCGCCTTGCTCCCTCCTGCTCGCCACCATGCCAGCGATCCGCGCTGCCAGCCTCGCAGGGTACTCGTCCCTCTCATCCGCGCTTGCACCCCCTGTCCCATCAGCACGAGCCTCGTCAGCACGAGCACTGTCAGCAAATGTTACATTGCGACGTGCGATCTCACCACGAGGAGCGCCATTGGCCCGCGGTGCGTCAACTGTACAGCCTAACCCACCATCCTCCTCTCCAACCCCAGCTCTGCCAACCCCAGCTCTGCCAACCCCAGCTCTGCCAACCCCAACTCTTCCACTTTCAACCCCTCTCGCTTTTGCACCCTCTCTTTCTCCTCTGTTCCTAACACCTCCTCTGCTCCTCACACCTCCTCTGCTCCTCACATCCCCTCCCTGCCCTGCCTGTTGCCCCGCACCCCCCCTGCTCGCCCCCCACCACTCATCACCATCCCACTCTCCACCACTCCACCGCTCTCTCTCCACTGCCCCTCTGTCTGTCCTCCTCCGCACATTCCTTCCCGATCCATGCCTATACCTCCCTGCCACACGCCGCAGTCGCCCTCCATCACCCCATCCCTCCTCCTCTCCCCCCCCCACCTCCTCAACTTCCTCCTCCTCCTCCGCCTCCCCATTCCCCTCCCCCCCATCCTCCACCTCCACCACTTCATCCTCCTCTTCCCCATCCTCCTCCCCTCCCTCACCCTCTTCCCAATCCTCCTCCTCCTTCTCGTCCTCCTCCTCCCACTCCTCCTCGTCCCACAGTGGTGCCTCAGCAGGGCAAGTGTGGGCGGTGAGCAGAGCGAGGGGCAGCCAGGGCGCCGTGTGCTTGCGCCACCGCCTGTAGTGCTTCCACTGCCCATGCTGCTTCAGCCGCGGGATGATGCCCAGCTGCAGCGGCAGGTGGGGGTGGTGAGGGAGCAGGCGAACGGTTAAGGAAGATAGGAAAAACGGAGGGAAGGGAGAGAGGAGGGAGAGGCAAAGGAGGGAGAGACGGAAGAGCAGGGAGAGGAGGGACAGGAGGGAGAGGAGGCAGAGGCAGAGGAGGCAGAGGCAGAGGTAAACCCATATTGAAATCATACACAATCAGACTATGCCTCACCTCGGGGTCGGGGTTGAAGCACTGAGTGGTGGGGTCCCAGGCGACTTCAGGCGGCAGCAGCTCCTGAAGCACCTGAATGTCCTTCACCCACCCGCGCACAACTTTGCACCGCATTCGCAGCTGCTCCCCCGAATACCGCGGGAATCCTCGCCGCAACCACTCGCGGTGCACCGCCCCCCAGTCGATCCTGCCGGAGAGGGCGGAGCCCTCAGCGCGCAGCACATCCCGCAAGATCCCCAGCAGGGCTGTCGTCTGCTCGTCGTCCCAAATCGCCCGCCCCTTGCCGATCTGCAATGCCTGCTCCCACCGCTCACGCAAATCCCTGCCTGTGCCAGTGCCTGCGCCCGTGCCCGTGCCTGTGCCCGTGCCTGTGCCCGTGCCTGTGCCCGTGCCTGTGCCCGTGCCTATGCCCGTGCCTGTGCCTGTGCCCGTGGCCGGGCCTGTGCCTGTGCCCGTGCCCGTGCCCGTACCTGTGCCCGTGCCTGTACCCATGCCTGTTCCCGTGCCTGTGGCCGTGCCCGTGCCTGTGTCTGCGAGCATGGCACTGCCTCTGCCTGTGGACCCAGTGCCCGGCACAGCAGGCTCGTAAGTGCTTGTGGGCAGGGGGGGAGCGGGGAGGCCAAGGAGCGAAGAGTGGAGGGAGGGCGAGGGGAAGGCGTAAGGGGGGACGGCGGGGCGACCAGGCAGGGCGACAAGGGAATTGGCGGCCAGAACCGACTCCAACCGCACGCCACCGCGCTGCTCCTCCGCTTCCCCAGAAACCCTCCCTGCTGCGGCTGCTCCCTTTCGTTGCGCTGCTGTCGAGTCGCCGCCTGCGCGTGCAGCCTCCGCCCTCTGCGCGGCTTCCGCCGGCAGGTCAGGCGGTCTGCTTGGCGGCTGGCTGGAAGTTTGCTGATTGGTGAGCGTCTGTAGGCGCTGTAAGAGAAACGAGCGAGTCATGCTGTAACGAGGAAAACGGGAAGGGGGAGAAATGCAAATGAGCCAGTGCAATTATTGTTACGGAAGCTTGCGTAGGCTGCGTTTATGAACCTGCGTTCATGAATTGCGATACGTCAGATGTAGGGTTCGCAGGCAAAACGACCACACGTTCCGCAATGTGACCGCAAATCGAGGTACTCGTTATAAGCTCTATTCGCTGACCTGTTTGCGATCCACGACAACGTGCCCAAACAACATCCACGACACAGCGCGTATGAACCCTGTCCCCCCACCTGCAACTTTCACATCATGTACCCTTGTCTTGTGGACTGTGAAATCGTCGCCAGTTGTTAATTCCCTGCACGTGATAGGCTGTGCAATTTTCGTGTTTTTCGTGATCAGTGGAGCCCGTTTCGCTCCGTGTCGAGCGTTAGTGTCGCACCCGAAATAGCGAGGATTGCAACCAGATTGTACACCGACGAGTTCGGTAGAAGTTGTAGGCCTAAAAAGGCACATCTAAACAAACAGATTTGTCATATGTCAAAACCTAACAGAACCAGGTAGAACATGTCAGAAATCATTAGTATGTTACAAAATGAACCATCCGTGGTGTTTGTACGTTTGCTTCAAAATAGGCAAGTATTGCTGCTAGAATCACGTGCCACAATGAGGGCGTCAGATGAACCACGCTCCGAAACCACTCAAAATTAGTGAATCTCAAAATGTCAAATGTTGTAGCCTTTAGTGATGTACCCCAACCAACCTTAGTAAAACACCATCCAGTTCTTGACATGGTATCACCTAGGTTAGAATCCTGTGAGATCCCGTTCCTCCCGCTCACGCCCGTAGCGCCCGAGCCTGTCCCGTACCCTAGTGTTAGTCACACTCGTACCGTTCCCTAGCGCACGCTGCGCCTGCCGGTCGCGTCGCGCCCGCTTTCCCCGTCGTTCCCCCCCCCCCCCCCCCCCCCCACCCCCTCCCCCCCTCCCCATCCCGTCCGTCGCGTTGCGCCTGTCTGCCGCGTCGCCCCCGTCCCGTCTGTCCCGTCCCTCGCATCGCCCCTGACCGTCGCGTCGCGTCCGGCCCGTCTGTCGCGTCGCGTCTGTCCTGTCCCATCTAGCCCGTCGCGCCCGTCCCGTCTGTCCCGTCGCGTGCGCCGTGCCTGCCCGTCCCGCAGCGCCACGCCGCACCCGTCCCGTCCTGCTTGCCATGCACCACCACGCCGCGCCCGTCCCGTCCTGCCTGCCGCGCAGCGCCGAACCGCACGTGTCTTGTCCCGTCCTACCGCGCCGCGCTGCGCCCGTCCTGTCCCATCGCGCCGCACTGCCCATTCTGCCGTTGTGCCCTACCCTGCCGTCCTGCAGTTCCCTGAGCCTCACGCACTGCCTGTCACGCCCTACTCAGGCCCTTTAGGCGTTTAGGGTTTCGGCAGCAGCAGTTCCTACCGCTTCGCTTCCGTTATGGCGACCCCTAGGGTCATGCGCTTTGACGGCGAGGGTAGGCCGCTCGAGTTCTCGGTCTGGCTTCTGCGTGCGCGCCGCCTCCTAGAGAGTCAAGCGCAGGCAGACGAGTCTTTGTGGGCGCATGCTTCCACTGACCTTCTTGCGCCCTCCGACCCTCATGCCGCACTACAGACAGAGACCGTTATGCACGCCAGCGTGCTGACCTGACAGCGTGGAAGTCGCAAGACGCTGCGGCCTGCATCGCCCTTAGCACCCTCCTCCCTGAGTCTGAGAAGACCCTCTTCACTCAGGTTCCCACTGCTAGTGAGTTCTTGACCGCGATCAAGGCCCGCTACGCTACTCCCACCACTAGCTCCCTTGGTCGACTATTCCTCCCGGTCCTGTTTCCTGACCTCGCCTTGTTTGAGCGCTCTAGTGACTTGATGGCTCACTTGCGCTCGCTCGATTCTAACTATCGCGCTGCCTGCACTGACGCACAACTTGCACTGCTCCCTCCCCCTATCGCGATGACTATTTATTTCATCGCCACAAGCCTTTTAGACTGCCTTGCCTCGGTTCGTGACGCGCTTCTTCTGAAGCACCCTAGCGAGCTCACTATCGAGGTCCTTGTGTCTGCCCTCAAGGACGTCGAGAGCAGCCTCCGCTCGGTAGCCTCCGCCGCTGGCGCTATGCCCCCTCCATTGTTTCACGGGTGCACTGTCCATCAGCTGCCCACCTCTACTGCCTCCCTCGCCACTGCCGCTACTAACGTGACCGCGGCTGCTGCTACGACTTCTTCGCGGTCTAGGGGTAAGAGTGGCATGAGGGGCGGTTAGGGTGCGGGCGGAGGCGGCAGAGGTGGCGGAGGTGAGCGGCAGTGGCGGGAGTGCAGGAGTTGGAGGAGCACCTTGTGCAGCGGCTAGTGACTCCCGTGCTGCAGCTGGTGGAGGTGACGCTCGGGTACGTCAGGCACCTACTGGACTGCCAGCTGCAGGTGCTGGAGTGGCGGCTTGGTACCCGACTCAGCGATAGCAGTAGCAGCAGCCATAGCAGCAGCAGGATCCGGGAAGGGGTTAGGACCGCGTCAGCTGTCGTGCGGTGCCGTCCACCCTCTCTGCACCTATCTCGTCTAGACAGGTACTCGCTGAGGCCTCTCCTGTAGCTGCAGCCACACCCCGGGTCAGTGCTTTGGTCATGCCCCATCCACGGTCATGCCCCTGACTGGCTTCCTTTTCTTCACTCGCACGGTGCTGCCCTGTGGGGCATGTTTGCTTCTCAGTTGCTTGATCTCTTAGGAACTCCTCATGCTATGTATACTATTATTGACTCTAGTGCTTCTGAGTCTGTTTTCTCGAGTGTTTTTAGCTTAGGTGCTAGTGTTGCAGAGGTGCTTGTTGCTAGTGTAGGTATGTCCCTCAGCTCTCCCTCCTGCTCCCTCAGTACAGCCTCCCCCCCTTGGTCCAGCCCCGTCAGGTATGTCCCACGCTACCCCTCCCCTCTCGGTAGCCCCTCAGGTGCAGCCTCCTTCCCCGCAGTCCTCTTCACAGCCTACAGTAGACCCTGTGGGAGCCGGTGTTCGTGGCGAGGACCCTGGAGGTGCTAGCTCTAGAGGAGTTGGAGTAGGAGCTGAGAGTGTACCAATGCGAGGTCCTGGTTCTGAGGGTGCTGGAGTTGAGGCTGAGCCCGTGCCTGCAGGAGCCTCTAATCTTCGGGGAGCTGGTGTTAGTCGATCTGTCCTTGGGGGTGCTACGCCTGGGGGTGCGCCCTCTACTGGACCTGGAGAGCCTGGGACTGACCCTGTTACTTCCGGTGGTGCTGGCTTTGGGGGTGGTGCGGCTGATGCCTTGGAGGGTAGAAGTGGGGCTGCCCCTGCCCCGGACACTACTCCGCACCCGCACCCCTACCCGACCCGGCACCAGGCCCGTCGTCGCCGTGCACGTGAGGAGCAGCTCGAGTTCGAGAGGGAGGGCCTAGAGTTGGAGCGGCAGCAGCTGGAGCTACCGCAGCTAGAGGAGCAGCAGCAGCAGTAGCAGCCGGAGCAGCAGCAGCTGCCGCAGCTGGAGGAGCAGCCGCCGTAGCACCAGCAGTCGCAGCTGGAGGAGCAGCAGCCGCAGCCGCAGCAGGAGCATCAGCAGCCGCCACTTCCTCCTCCTGTCTCTGGTCTTCAGACCCTCGGTCTCCCCTCTCCCTCTCCTCCCTCCTCCCTCTCTCCTGCCGTCTCTAGTCCCCCGCTTCCTCCTCCTGACCCCTCCCCAACTGTTTTCCCTTGTTCTCAGCCTCCGTTATCCCCTCCTCTTTCTCACACTTGGGCCTCTCATCGCTCTCCTCGTGCTCGTCCCTCGTCCCCTGTTCCCGTCACTGACCTTCGTACTGCCCTGTTTCGTCCTAGCTCCCCTCGTCCTTCTCCTTCTGTGCTTCCTTCTCCTCCTGAGTCGGCCCTCACCGCTTCCATTTCTACTCCTGTCACTTACTACTACCGCACGTACCGACATGTTCTCTCTCATGTTCTCGCCTCTCTTATTACCGACCCACGTGCTATTCTGTCCTCTGTCTCCGCTGTTACTGCCGCAGTCACTGAGTATGCCTCTACTCGCCGCCTTGATTACGCCACTAGTCTTGTGGCTGCTCCTCCTACCAGTCCTTTGGCTGTCAGGGGTGAGTCTGCCCTTGGCTGTTACGCCCTAGAGGATAGACAGTTTGAGCTAAAGTTCCTGGCAGCCGCTTCCCCTCATCTCTGTGCCATGCTGCTCGCCCATGAGGGAGACCCCGACGCCCTTGACATACCGACTCCTCGCACTTACGCTGAGGCAGTATCAGGGCCTTGAGCCTCTCAGTAAAGAGCTGCCATGGACGCAGAGGTGGCCTCCTACAGATCCACATGCACCTACGTCGACAAGGTTCACCCCCCTTGGGCGAACGTAGTCGATGACATGTGGATCTACAGGGTGAAGCGGCCACCGGGATCTCCTCCGGTTTTCAAGGCGCACTACAGGGTGGCTAGTTCAGTCAGCGCGAGGGAGTTGACTTCTTTCCGACCTTCGCAAGGGATGACCACTCTTCGAGTGTTACTGCATGTAGAAGTAGAGAGAGACTACGAGCTACTTTCTCTCGACTTCTCCACTGCCTACCTTGAGGGTAGTCTACACGAGGAGGTGTGGTTGCGATGTCCCTCTGCCTTCACTGTACTTTCCCTCCTGGGACCTAGTGGAGGCTGAGGCGACCGGTCTACGGTCTTTATCAGGCTCCTCGTGAGTGGCACGACAGCCTTCGTTCTACCCTGTCCGACCTCGGTTTTCAACCGTCTTGTGCTGACCCGTCGCTGTTCGTTCGTCGTGGCTCCACACCGTTCTTTGTACTGGTCTACGTCGACGACCTGGTTTTCGCCACTTCTAACAGGGTTGCTTTGGCTGACGTGAAGTTTGAATTGCAGAAGAGACACACGTGCACTGAACTTGGTGAGCTGCGCCATTACCTTGGCCTGAAGATTACCAGGGACAGAGCCGCTCGCAAGATTATACTCTCATAGCCACACATGGTGCAGCAGGTCCTTGAGCAGTTCAAGCTTCAGCACTCCACAGTATAGCGCACACCTCTTGCCGTTGACCACAGACTCACTGGTCCCTTTCCTGGCCAGCCGTTTGAGCCTAGTGGTCTTTACGCAGAGCTTGTGGGATGCCTCATGTACCTGATGACTTGTACTCGCCAGGACCTCGCCTTCCCTCTCAGCGTCCTTGCTCGCTTTGTTGCGCTAGGGAGACACCGTCTTGTTCACTGGACAGCAGCTCTAAGGGTGGCGAAGTACCTAGCGACGACATCAGGCGTGGGGCTGGTTCTTGGAGGGAGGCAGTCTGTCGTACTTACTGGTCAGTGTGACTCTTCTTACGCTGACGACGCCGAGACTCGCATGTCTACCAGGGGTACTGTTTCATCCTGGGTTCTGGAGCTTTTTCGTGGAGGTCCACGCGTTCCTCCTCGGTCTCGAACTCGACCGCTGAGGCTGAGATCTACGCTGGAGCCATGGCTGCAAATGAGTTGCGCTGCTTGACCTTCTTGCTCACTGACCTGTCAAACTCATATGCTATAGTCTATGTAGGCTGTAGTGGGGTAGACAATATGGGGTACAACACTTTTAGGTTTTCCTACTTGTACCCACCTGCTTGTTATAGTCACAATAGGCTCCAATGTGCCTAAAACGAAAGATACAGTGCACAGCCGGATTTCTGCACAGCGGCTTCAAACGTTCATAGCGTTCTGGTCACAACTTCAAATGACCTGATTCAACTTGGATCTGGAGCGTCTGAACGTCGCCTACAATAGGCAATTTAGATCGCACAATTTTACCAAGTATTGACGACACAGTGTTGGTTTGAACGAACGGCACTATGGCAGCCACTATAGTCTAAGAACACAAAATAGGAAGAGATATGAAGAGTTACGAGTTGGGAATGACTCCCAGCTCCTACAAACCCCAAGAGCCGAGTTACAGTGATGTGGAACAGTGCCACACTGTCCCCAACCACGAAGGGTCTCGAAACTACCCTTCACTAGGGCCTACACCAAGTGAAATGTTACACTACACAAAGTAATGTAACTATCTTCAATATCTTGAGGTGTACCCTTTTGGCGAGCTTCGAAATCACTTGAGGCTTGACACCAAGGCTCGGGCTCTTCATCACAAACTCATCCTTGAGTTCTTGATGGGTCTGCTGCACACACCTGCGACACACCGAACGTTCGACACAGGACAAAATAGAAACCGCGCACGACAAAAATAGAAACCGCGCGCGAGACACAAACGACCGCGTAACACGCGTCTAGCGATAACTCGCTATTGACTCGACACACACACACTCGACATCATGACTCAACATTCACACACAATTATAAGCATGAAATATGTATTATCCCATGCCCTCATACCATTCCATACACACACACATGCACGCATACGGACAACAAGCCGAGTGCAAACCGTAGGGTTGCACCAACAAACTCCCCCTCGGATTGTTGGCCTTAGGATATGTTGCTCTCTCAGTTGAGAGCCATCCCAGTTAGCTTGCAACACTTCCAATGATGCTGCTCCACCAGCCTCTTAGTCATCATGTCAGCCGGCTGCCCCGTGGTCTTCACGTACCGCAACTCAACTTCACCCGCGGTCACCATGCTCCTCGTCCAATGCCACTTCACCCTCATGTGCTTTGTGAGTCCATGCAACACAGGGTTCTTAGCAAGAGCAATGGCACCCTGGCTGTCACAATAGAGTGGGGTAGGTCCTTGCTGCTCCTCCCCCAATTCAGCCAACAAACGCCGCTGCCACACAATCTCCCGTACGGCACGGAAGAGTGCCATGTACTCGGACTCCACCGAGCTCAAAGCTTGGTCAACCTGCTTCTTGCTCTCCCAAGCAGTTGGGCCTCCACCAACACAGCATATGAAGCCTCCCACACTTGTCATGTCCTCTGGTTCCGATGCATATGACGCATCCGAGTAGGCGGTGAGGAACAAACGCCCGGGTTCAGCACCATCCGCGCCCTTTTGGCGCCTTTGTGCCGCCGCCGAGTATTGCAGCCCAACGGTCGGTGTTTGGCCAAGATACTTGGCCACCCTCATTCCACTTGCTACCTGCTCCTCATTAGGGCATTGCATAGCCCTAGCCAGCTGCCCGGTAGCAAACGCGACGTACGGTCGGGTGTTTACCGCCGCATACATGAGGCTGCCCACCAACGAGTGAAAACGGCGCCTCTCCTCTTCACAAACGCTCTCCTCCTCTGGTCCCTTCACACACTTGAACCCAGAGGGAAAGGGAGTAGCCACATGACCTTCACTCTGGCCGAAGTTGGCAGCCAACGCCTCCACGTACTTCCGTTGGTGCACTCGCATGCTCCGCTTCTCCACGTCTCGTTCGATGTGGAGCCCAAGGTAGAAGTTCACGTCACCAAGGGACTTGCACTTGAACTTGTCATGCAGCTTCAGCATCACCTCATTCACAAGGTCAGAGGAGGGTGAGAATATAAGAATGTCATCCACATAAACCACCATGAAGCTCCTCTGCTCCCCTTCGCCAAGCATGAACAAGGAGTGATCGGCCGTCGAGGGAGTGAAGCCGATCCCCTCCAACACTTCGCGCAGCTTCATGTACCATTGCCTAGGGGCCTGCTTCAGCCCATAGAGGGCCTTCTTCAGCTTCCACACTCTGCCACTACCATCATCAAACCTCTCTGGCTGCGCCATAAAAATCTCCTCCTCAAGGATGCCGTTAAGGAATGCCGTTACGATGTCCATTTGTTTTACTACCCATCCTTTGATGGCGGCTCCCGCGAATAGGGTTCGCAGCGTCGTCGGCTTCACCACAGGGGCAAACAGCTCCTTGAAGTCCACCTTCTCCTTCTGCTGGTACCCCTTGGCTACAAGCCTAGACTTGTAGCGCTCGATCTTGCCGTCGGCATCCGACTTGATTTTGAAGAGCCACTTGGACGTTATTGCCTTACGCCCCTCCGGTAGCTCCACCAATTCAAACGTGTCATTCTCCTTGATGCTCTTCAGCTCACTCTCCATGGCCTTCTTCCACTCCTCAGCATCACTACTCTCCAAAGCCTCCTTGAGAGTTGCTGGTTCTCCCGGCATCTCCACCGGAGAGAAGAACGCGAAGGCACACTCCTCGTAGTCACTCTCCTCGTCGTCTCCGACCATCATTGCAGCTCCGGCCAGGGCTGTCTTGCCCTGCTTTCCCAGCGCATCATAGGTCAGCCTATTAGGGGGTTGAACTCTCCTCTTGCCCCTTCCTTCCTCCTCAGCTGCAGGGACTTAAAGGCCTTGGCGTTGCTGCGGTGTGGCTCAGATCCGTGGAGCGCTCGTAGTGCGGAAAGGAAGTGTCGGTGCACGCTCGCTCACTTGCTGCACCTCCTCCTCTTCTTCCTCTGCATCATTGGCCTCCTCTCCCCCATTCACAAGGGAGGATTGCCTTGTGGTTGTGCTGCAGCTGCTCAGCTCCAAAGGCAGCTCCACATGCTCCAAACCGGAACTCTTCACCTCCCCAAACCGCACGCCTATCTTCGCCTCATTCTCCGCCTTCCAATCTTTGTACATGAAGTTCTCCATGAACTTGCAGTCCCTGCTCACCAAGAACTTCTTGGTGAATGGGTCCCAAAGAAGCCATCCCTTGCTGTTTTGAGCCATGCCCAAGTGCACGGCCCACACCGCATTGGCACCAAGCTTGTTGTGCCGAAGATGCTTAGGCACGAGCGCCATGCACATGCACCCGAACACCCGAAGCATATCCACCTTTGGCTTCCTTCCTAGCCACTCCACATAGGGCACCCATTTGTCTGCTCCCACATGAGTCAAGGCTCGGTTCTTGGCCACACACGCGCTCCGCACCGCATCAGGCCAGAAATAGTCGGGTAGCCCGGCTTCAATGAGCAACCCGCGTGCCGCCTCCGTGATTGTGCGGTTCGCTCGCTCGGCGATGCCGTTCATTGCAGGGGAGTATGGCATGGTGAGGGAGTGCCGAATACCATTCTTCTTCAGCCACAACCCAAACTCCTTGCTCAGGAAATCTCCCCCTCGATCGGTGCGGATTGACTTGACTAGACGGTCTTGTTGCCGCTCCACCATCGGGAACCAATCCGTCTTCAACGTTTCAGCCACGTCGCTCTTCTTGGCCAGCACATACACCCAAGTCATGCGGGTGTAGACGTCGACAATGGTGAGAAAATACTCAGCTCCAGCAGCTCCAAGCTTCAGGGGGCCCACCACGTCCATCACCACCTTATCAAGCGGTGCCTTAGCCGTCGCCTCCGAACTAGAGAACGGGAATCGGGTGAAC